TCTAGTGGTGCCCACGGGTTGTGTTACAGCTCTAGTGGTGGCCACGGGTTGTGTTACAGCTCTAGTGGTGCCCATGGGTTGTGTTACAGCTCTAGTGGTGCCCACGGGTTGTGTTACAGCTCTAGTGGTGGCCATGGGTTGTGTTACAGCTCTAGTGGTGCCCATGGGTTGTGTTACAGCTCTAGTGGTGCCCATGGGTTGTGTTACAGCTCTAGTGGTGCCCATGGGTTGTGTTACAGCTCTAGTGGTGCCCACGGGTTGTGTTACAGCTCTAGTGGTGCCCATGGGTTGTGTTACAGCTCTAGTGGTGCCCACGGGTTGTGTTACAGCTCTAGTGGTGGCCACGGGTTGTGTTACAGCTCTAGTGGTGGCCATGGGTTGTGTTACAGCTCTAGTGGTGGCCATGGGTTGTGTTACAGCTCTAGTGGTGCCCACGGGTTGTGTTACAGCTCTAGTGGTGCCCACGGGTTGTGTTACAGCTCTAGTGGTGGCCATGGGTTGTGTTACAGCTCTAGTGGTGGCCATGGGTTGTGTTACAGCTCTAGTGGTGGCCATGGGTTGTGTTACAGCTCTAGTGGTGGCCATGGGTTGTGTTACAGCTCTAGTGGTGGCCATGGGTTGTATTACAGCTCTAGTGGTGGCCATGGGTTGTTACAGCTCTAGTGGTGGCCACGGGTTGTGTTACAGCTCTAGTAGTGCCCACGGGTTGTATTACAGCTCTAGTGGTGGTCATGGGTTGTGTTACAGCTCTAGTGGTGCCCACGGGTTGTATTACAGCTCTAGTGGTGGCCATGGGTTGTGTTACAGCTCTAGTGGTGCCCACGGGTTGTATTACAGCTCTAGTGGTGGCCATGGGTTGTGTTACAGCTCTAGTGGTGGCCATGGGTTGTGTTACAGCTCTAGTGGTGGCCATGGGTTGTATTACAGCTCTAGTGGTGGCCATGGGTTGTGTTACAGCTCTAGTGGTGCCCACGGGTTGTGTTACAGCTCTAGTGGTGGCCATGGGTTGTGTTACAGCTCTAGTGGTGGCCATGGGTTGTGTTACAGCTCTAGTGGTGGCCATGGGTTGTGTTACAGCTCTAGTGGTGGCCATGGGTTGTGTTACTCTAGTGGGCCATGGGTTGTGTTACAGCTCTAGTGGTGGCCATGGGTTGTGTTACAGCTCTAGTGGTGCCCACGGGTTGTGTTACAGCTCTAGTGGTGGCCATGGGTTGTGTTACAGCTCTAGTGGTGGCCATGGGTTGTGTTACAGCTCTAGTGGTGGCCATGGGTTGTGTTACAGCTCTAGTGGTGGCCATGGGTTGTGTTACAGCTCTAGTGGTGGCCATGGGTTGTGTTACAGCTCTAGTGGTGCCCACGGGTTGTGTTACAGCTCTAGTGGTGGCCATGGGTTGTGTTACAGCTCTAGTGGTGGCCATGGGTTGTGTTACAGCTCTAGTGGTGGCCATAGGTTGTGTTACAGCTGTATTGGACAACCTGTCTTCTTAAAAAGAACGTCGCTTTTGGCCGTTTGCCCGTATGGCCGAATATGGACGTAATTTGAAAATGAAAAAAAAAAAATAATATGAATTTGGGATTTTTTTTCAACAACAGTAAGTTAAGGGTCCTCTAGTAGTGCCCACGGGTTGTGTTACAGCTCTAGTGGTGGCCACGGGTTGGTTACAGCTCTAGGTTGTGTTACAGCTCTAGGGTGGCTCCACGGGTTGTGTTAGGTTAGGTGGGCTGGAAATTCTCATAAAATTTCATAACGGTATGAAAAACGTTAATGGAAAGAATCCACTTCTAAGATTGCCGAATAAGCCGGACGACTCAAACAGAAAACGGAACAGTACGTCACTTTTGTGAGTCGATTTTATTTCAAATTACGTCCAAATTTGGCCATAGTGTGCATACGAGCCAAAAGTGACGTTATTTTTAAGAGGACGGGTTGGTGAGAGTTCATACTCTCTCGATGATCTTAACTAATCTTCCTGCATGTATGCTGACTATATGTGGCGCTGTGTTGATATTGTGTCTGGGGCTGTGCATGTCTGTCAGTATAGTTATAGTCGCTCCTGAGGATATATAGTCCATCCTGGTGTGTGTGTGTGTCTGTCAGTATAGTTATAGTCGCTCCTGAGGATATATAGTCCATCCTGGTGTGTGTGTGTCTGTCAGTATAGTTATAGTCGCTCCTGAGGATATATAGTCCATCCTGGTGTGTGTGTGTGTCTGTCAGTATAGTTATAGTCGCTCCTGAGGATATATAGTCCATCCTGGAGAGTGCTGCCACACTGAGCCTCTTATTGATCTGCTCAGTGTTGCCAGCTCTAAAAACTTCCAAGGGGAGGAAATTTATTCCAAAATTTATTTTGAGACACTTACACGTAAACATTCATTAAAATAATAAATACACACTTTATTTGAACTATACTGAGATGAGGGAGAGAGCAGTAGTTCTGGTAACAGTGGCAGGAGACTAATAGTGCTGGTAACACTGTTAGGGAACTACATGAAGGAATTAAGTAGTGTTGTCGTGGCCTAGGAGTACTTGATCAATAGTGACTAGGAGGGGGTGGGGGCCTTTGGAACCTAACTTGGCCCACCCTACATCAGTGGTGGGCCGACCACTGATGGCTGTGTACAAACACTTTATACACAACTGATGACGGATGTATTTGTCTGTGTTCACGTCCTGTGCTTGAATGCCACCTGTCTGAGTCCTTCACTTAATGACCAACAGGACCTAGCCTAACCTAACCTGTCTAAGTCCTTCACTTAATGACCAACAGGACCTAACCTAACCTCACCTAACCTAACCTAACCTAACCTAACCTAACCTAACCTGTCTAAGTCCTTCACTTAGTGACCAACAGGACCTAACCACCTAACCTAACCTAAGTTAAGCCTAACTCTTCAACACACTCGAGCATATAATGTGAGAATATTACCTTAAATTTAAGAAAATATTACTTGTGAGTTCGCAGTAAGTTAAAAGTAATATCTGTGTTTTTGGGTTCATCCAAGGCCAGGACCAGCCTAGCCTGAGGACACGGTGCTATACGTGTCCTCAGGCTAGACCAGGACCAGCCTAGCCTGAGGACACGGTGCTATACGTGTCCTCAGGCTAGACCAGGACCAGCCTAGCCTGAGGACACGGTGCTATACGTGTCCTCAGGCTAGACCAGGACCAGCCTAGCCTGAGGACACGGTGCTATACGCGGCCTCAGGCTAGACCAGGACCAGCCTAGCCTGAGGACACGGTGCTATACGCGGCCTCAGGCTAGACCAGGACCAGCCTAGCCTGAGGACACGGTGCTATACGCGGCCTCAGGCTAGGCCAGGACCAGCCTAGCCTGAGGACACGGTGCTATACGCGGCCTCAGGCTAGGCCAGGACCAGCCTAGCCTGAGGACACGGTGCTATACGCGGCCTCAGGCTAGGCCAGGACCAGCCTAGCCTGAGGACACGGTGCTATACGCGGCCTCAGGCTAGACCAGGACCAGCCTAGCCTGAGGACACGGTGCTATACGCGGCCTCAGGCTAGGCCAGGACCAGCCTAGCCTGAGGACACGGTGCTATACGCGGCCTCAGGCTAGACCAGGACCAGCCTAGCCTGAGGACACGGTGCTATACGGGTCCTCAGGCTAGGCCAGGACCAGTCTAGCCTGAGGACACGGTGCTATACGTGTCCTCAGGCTAGGCCAGGACCAGTCTAGCCTGAGGACACGGTGCTATACGCGTCCTCAGGCTAGGCCAGGACCAGCCTAGCCTGAAGACACGGTGCTATACGCGTCCTCAGGCTAGGCCAGGACCAGCCTAGCCTGAGGACACGGTGCTATACGCGTCCTCAGGCAAGACCAGGACCAGCCTAGCCTGAGGACACGGTGCTATACGCGTCCTCAGGCAAGACCAGGACCAGCCTAGCCTGAGGACACGGTGCTATACGCGGCCTGAGGCTAGGCCAGGACCAGCCTAGCCTGAGGACACGGTGCTATACGCGGCCTCAGGCTAGACCAGGACCAGCCTAGCCTGAGGACACGGTGCTATACGCGGCCTCAGGCTAGGCCAGGACCAGCCTAGCCTGAGGACACGGTGCTATACGCGGCCTCAGGCTAGGCCAGGACCAGCCTAGCCTGAGGACACGGTGCTATACGCGGCCTCAGGCTAGACCAGGACCAGCCTAGCCTGAGGACACGGTGCTATACGCGGCCTCAGGCTAGGGGGGCCTTATATAAACGAACCGAAACAAGATGGAAAACTGGTCGCTATAAATACAATGCGACGGGTGTCACCATTTTCCCCCACTGTACCACCTTCCTGACCCACTGTCACCCCTGGTGCAGGTGGTGGGCACTGTTGTACCACCATTATGACCCCCACTGTACCACCTTCCTGACCCACTGTCACCCCTGGTGCAGGTGGTGGGCACTGTTGTACCACCATTATGACCCCCACTGTACCACCTTCCTGACCCACTGTCACCCCTGGTGCAGGTGGTGGGCACTGTTGTACCACCATTATGACCCCCACTGTACCACCTTCCTGACCCACTGTCACCCCTGGTGCAGGTGGTGGGCACTGTTGTACCACCATTATGACCCCCACTGTACCACCTTCCTGACCCACTGTCACCCCTGGTGCAGGTGGTGGGCACTGTTGTACCACCATTATGACCCCCACTGTACCACCTTCCTGACCCACTGTCACCCCTGGTGCAGGTGGTGGGCACTGTTGTACCACCATTATGGCCCCCACTGTACCACCTTCCTGACCCACTGTCACCCCTGGTGCAGGTGGTGGGCACTGTTGTACCACCATTATGGCCCCCACTGTACCACCTTCCTGACCCACTGTCACCCCTGGTGCAGGTGGTGGGCACTGTTGTACCACCATTATGGCCCCCACTGTACCACCTTCCTGACCCACTGTCGCCCCTGGTGCAGGTGGTGGGCACTGTTGTACCACCATTATGGCCCCCACTGTACCACCTTCCTGACCCACTGTCACCCCTGGTGCAGGTGGTGGGCACTGTCGGAGCAACACCAGCCTGTTCGTTTGACAACCTGCGAGAGATCGGGACGGTGGCGAAGGAATTTCATTTATGGCACCACGTCGACGCCGCGTACGCTGGTGAGTGCCATGTGTCCCCATGTGTGCCTCTGTGTCCCCATGTGTGCCTCTGTGTCCCCATGTGTGCCCCTGTGTTCCCATGTGTGCCTCTGTGTCCCCATGTGTGCCCCTGTGTTCCCATGTGTGCCTCTGTGTCCCCATGTGTGCCTCTGTGTCCCCATGTGTGCCCCTGTGTTCCCATGTGTGCCTCTGTGTCCCCATGTGTGCCCCTGTGTTCCCATGTGTGCCTCTGTGTCCCCATGTGTGCCTCTGTGTCCCCATGTGTGCCTCTGTGTCCCCATGTGTGCCTCTGTGTCCCCATGTGTGCCTCTGTGTCCCCATGTGTGCCTCTGTGTCCCCATGTGTGCCTCTGTGTCCCCATGTGTGCCTCTGTGTCCCCATGTGTGCCCCTGTGTCCCCATGTGTGCCCCTGTGTCCCCATGTGTGCCCCTGTGTCCCCATGTGTGCCTCTGTGTCCCCATGTGTGCCCCTGTGTCCCCATGTGTGCCCCTGTGTCCCCATGTGTGCCCCTGTGTGCCCCATGTGTGCCTCTGTGTCCCCATGTGTGCCCCTGTGTCCCCATGTGTGCCCCTGTGTCCCCATGTGTGCCCCTGTGTCCCCATGTGTGCCCCTGTGTCCCCATGTGTGCCCCTGTGTCCCCATGTGTGCCTCTGTGTCCCCATGTGTGCCCCTGTGTCCCCATGTGTGCCCCTGTGTCCCCATGTGTGCCCCTGTGTCCCCATGTGTGCCCCTGTGTCCCCATGTGTGCCCCTGTGTCCCCATGTGTGCCCCTGTGTGCCCCTGTGTGCCCATGTGTGCCCATGTGTGCCCCTGTGTGCCCCTGTGTGCCCCTGTGTCCCCATGTGTGCCCTGTGTGCTGTGTGCCCCTGTGTCCCCATGTGTGCCCCTGTGTGCCCCTGTGTGCCCTGTGTGTGTGCCCTGTGTGTGTGCCCCTGTGTGCCCATGTGTGCCTCTGTGTCCCCATGTGTGCCCCTGTGTCCCCATGTGTGCCTGTGTCCCCATGTGTGCCTCTGTGTCCCCCTGTGTGCCCCTGTGTCCCCATGTGTGCCTCTGTGTCCCCATGTGTGCCCCTGTGTGTGTGCCCCATGTCCCCATGTGTGCCCCTGTGTCCCCATGTGTGCCCCTGTGTCCCCATGTGTGCCTCTGTGTCCCCATGTGTGCCTCTGTGTCCCCATGTGTGCCTCTGTGTCCCCATGTGTGCCTCTGTGTCCCCATGTGTGCCTCTGTGTCCCCATGTGTGCCTCTGTGTCCCCATGTGTGCCCCTGTGTCCCCATGTGTGCCCTTGTGTCTGTGTCCCCATGTGTGCCACTGTGTCCCCATGTGTGCCCCTGTGTCCCCATGTGTGCCCCTGTGTCCCCATGTGTGCCCCTGTGTCCCCATGTGTGCCTCTGTGTCCCCATGTGTGCCCCTGTGTCCCCATGTGTGCCCCTGTGTCCCCATGTGTGCCCCTGTGTCCCCATGTGTGCCCCTGTGTGCCCCTGTGTCCCCATGTGTGCCCCTGTGTCCCCATGTGTGCCCCTGTGTCCCCATGTGTGCCCCTGTGTCCCCATGTGTGCCCCTGTGTCCCCATGTGTGCCCCTATGTCCCCATGTGTGCCCCCCCATGTGTGCCCCCCCATGTGTGCCCCTGTGTCCCCATGTGTGCCCCTGTGTCCCCATGTGTGCCCCTGTGTCCCCATGTGTGTCCCTGTGTCCCCATGTGTGTCCCTGTGTCCCCATGTGTGCCCCCCCATGTGTGCCCCTGTGTCCCCATGTGTGTCCCTGTGTCCCCATGTGTGCCCCTGTGTGCCCCTGTGTCCCCATGTGTCCCCCTGTGTCCCCATGTGTGCCCCTGAGTCCCCATATGTGCCCCTGTGTCCCCATGTGTGCCCCTGTGTCCCCATGTGTGCCCCTGTGTCCCCATGTGTGCCCCTGTGTCCCCATATGTGCCCCTGTGTCCCCATGCATGACCCATGTGTCCTATTTGTGCTTGTTATTAGGTTGTTGACTGGATCTTGCTTGGGTCTGAAGAGATGCACAGTCTGACTTCTTGGACTTTATTAGTTGTGGCAGTAGAATAAATATCCAACACACCAGGGTCCCGAGGTCCTGCTGGTCCTGGTCCCAGGGTCCCGAGGTCCTGCTGGTCCTGCTGGTCCTGGTCCCAGGGTCCCGAGGTCCTGCTGGTCCTGCTGGTCCTGGTCCCAGGGTCCCGAGGTCCTGCTCTAATCTAGGTCTGTGTGGTACTGGCGGCCTACTTGAAAGCGGCTACTGCACTGCTTAGGCTGCTCTGCTCTGAGGAATGACCTCATGGGCCCACTGACCACAGACTTGGCTATACACCAACCGTCCTTGACGTTAAAGGATAACACCACTTAGACACGCTAGCAAGTCAACGTTCCTTGTCGACAATGTGTGGCTAGCTAGCTACAATGATACTGAAGGACCCTCGGTGGCATACAATAATAGTTTACATGTAAAGTTTTAGAATAAACATTAAAAGATGGATCAGGTGTGGATTAGTACTAACACCGCTCGGCATGTGCACAAAAATTCAAACATAATTTACTCAGTGAAAAATCGTGGTAACAATGCATCAACTGGAGCAAGAGCCTGAAGAACATGAGCATGTCTAAGGTGTGTCTAAGGCATGTCTAAGCATTACGTATGGACAATAGAACTCAAAGTTTTGCCTAAAACAAAATTATGAACATCATGTGTTAATGGCATGTGCTTGGAAAATAATGAAGACAATTATCTGCTCAAATGGATCAAGAGTTATGACCTAACAACCACAGTGAATTTCAGAATTAGATAACAAGATAAAAAAATTCATGTACAACATCTCTGTGACCTTCGGTTTGAAGTGATGCAGCACTCAAGCCTACATCACTAGCATCTGTGACCAACATAAAAGATTTAGAAAAATCTGGGTACCTAAGGACAGGTGATGAGATCAATGCTGCCTTGAGCTTTCTGAATGACTGTTCTTGGCCTGCTTCCCAAACAAAGGGTTCATCTTTTCTTTGCAACTTGTAAAGTGGAGAAGTTATAATGGAGAATCCAGCAATAAATGAACGATAAAATCCTACAAAACCTGTTAACTGTTTTACGGCTTCTGTATTACGAGCCGTTGGAAAATGACGGGCAGCAATCATTTTGTATTCATCCAAGGTAATACCTGAAGGGGTGACTGTATGACCTAGGAAATTATTCTTCTCCTTTACAAATGAGCACTTTGAGAGTTTTATTTTTAAATTTGCTTCTGCGAGTTTTGCAAGTACTTTCTCAAGGTTCTGGAAGTGAGTCTGAACATCTTGCGACATGATTATGAGATCATTAAGATACACCAGAAGAGTATACAACCTATCAATCTACGAAATAAGTTCATCATGAGTCTTGAAAAGGTTATTGGGCTGCTTTGCAAACCAAATGGCATTCTCTTGAAAGGATAATGACCATTTGGGGTTATTAAAGGCTGTCAGCTGTTTACTTTCCTCATCGAGTGGGATTTGCCAGAATTCCTGCAACAAATCTAACATTGAAAATACTTTGTTTCGCCCTATGCTTTGCAGCAAATTATTTAAGACTGAAAGAGGGAAACGGTCAGTATGGTTACTCTGTTAAGCTTCCAGGAGTCAATTACCGGTCTCCATGTCCCATCTCGGTTTGGTACAAAAATCAATGGAGCGTTCCATTGTGAATTGCTCGATTCAATTACATCATTCTGTAACATTTCCACTATAAGACTATCAGCTTCTGCTCTCTAAGAATGCAGTAAACGGTAAGCTGGAACATAAATTGGTGTTGTACCTTGCTCAAGGGGAATTATATGTGATGAGAGGAGTGAGACCTAACTTTTCCCCAGGTAGAGCGATGACTCTTCTCTTCTTATTTATAATTTCCAAAAGTTGAACCACATAGTCAGGGAAATGTGTAGGACTGAGGAGTAGTGCTTGCATCTCTGGCTGAGATCCCCGTTCTCCTGGTGTGAGTGTACACACAGTGTCTTCCACTCAGACATCATCCACAACTCGCACTCGTAACGAGTAGTTTTAGTTTAGTTCATTATTATGCACCCCATACCCATCTTGTGGGCGGTAGTGGAAAGGGTTACAGAGGCACATAATGGGCTCAGGGACTGAACCCCACAATCCATTTAGCTAAGCAAGTTACAATCATGATGAACTAATTACAAAATTCAGTATAAGTCGTCACATCAACAATGGGTTCGAGATGGATCACAAGTACAGTTTCTAAATTAAGCAACTGACATATGTGGAGAGCTAGTGTCACAATTGATATGTTTGTCCTGCACACCGCCCCCCATCCAGTGGGCAGCGGTGGATAGGTTACAGTCACTTAGTTACTACCTACAGTTTGCAAACTGGGAATATTTGGCTATTTCTGGTAGCAGAAATAAATATTTTGAATGAAATATTTACACATCGTTGGAACATTCGTTATAGAATTGTCTCTGAATTCATGTATCTTTTCGCACTCCATCACATAGTGACGGAGGGTGTGCGAATAATTTTGTTCACACAGTTTACATTTGGTCAGGTCTACATCGGCAGATAATGAGAATTCCCAGAGATACTTGTAACCGAGTCTAAGCCGAGCAGTATTAACATCTAGAAGTCTGCTGATTTTATTGGATGAACCATAGATGTGTGGCTCCTCTTGCATAATAGTATGATGATAGATGGAATTACTAGTGTCGATTTCACTTTGCCTCAGATCTACAAGATCTTGTTGAAGTTCTCGGTGTACTGCTGCTCAGATTGCTCATTGACAATCCAAGGTTACACTCAATGTCTCCTTTAAAGGCAGATTCTTTGGCTAACTTATCAGCTCTATCATGCATTCGGAGGCCAACATGAGATGGAGACCACATGAAATGAACTCTGTTACCATCCTTAATAATTTTGATGTATTTGTGTCTGGCTTCGGACACGAGCATGTTACAGTTATGTCTTAAAGAGTTGAGAGCATTTAAGGATGATAAGGAGTCACTTACA